CTCCTTTTAGAGCTTATTTAATTATTTTTATTCTTTTTTTATTTATTAAAAATTTCCACCTCCTCCCCACTTCCCTTTTCCATCCCCCTCCCCCCACCCCTCCATCTCCAGTCCTAACAGCAGTCAGGGTTCCCTGCTCCATGGGAAGTCCAAGGTCCTCCCCTCTCCATCCAGGTCTAGGAAGGTGAGCATCCAAACAAACCAGGCTCCCACAAAGCCAGTCCATGCAGTAGAATCAAAACCAGTGTCATTGTCCTTGGCTCTCAGTCAGCCTTCATTGCCAGCCACATTCAGAGAGTCCGGTTTGATCACATGCTCCATCAGTCCCACGTTCACACACATATAAATTGTTTGTTGGCTACACCTCCATTACCCTCTCACCTCCTTACCCCTTCTGTCTGTTGAATCCCCTCCTTATCCTGATGAACCCTCTTCCTGGTTTATTATGTTTCTTCAACCCACTGATTTTAACTAATACAGCTTGCATGAACAGGAATTGTTTATAGCACGATGGCAAATTTCTTAAAAACGACACCTTTTGTCCTATAGAAAATCTGCGTTTTGACAGCTCAGTCAGTGAAACATGAGGACCGGAGTTTGATCCCTGGATCTAAGGTAAGAAGAAGCAGGCAATGGTAGTGATTGTATCTCAGTGCTTCAGAGGGAGAGAGGGCCAGCTCTTTCTGGCACTGGCCAGTGAGCCAATGAGTGAGCTCTGGGTCAACGAATAATCCTGTCTCAAACAGCAAGGTGAACAGCTTCTGGGGAGTGGCCCCTGAGAGGGACTTCTGGTCTCAAAAGTGAAGGCGCACACTAGCATCTTCGTGAACATGCACCCTCAACAGACACGCACAAACACACGCACCAAAAAAAAGGAAATTTGCTTTTTATTGCAGTCAGTTGTGTTTTTCAGATCAAGAGTATGTGCACATGTGTGTGTGTGTGATATTGCATGTGATATTGTGTGTGTATGTTAGGATGAAAGGGAGGGTGAAAGTATGAGGAGGGTGGGCTGTGGAGCGGCAGAGTGTGTTTGAATGTGGACGTGAACAGGTGAGTGTGTATGAGTGTGAGCATAGTAACCCCACGTACCAATACATGCCAGCATTTCAGCTATTTGAGTTTCACATGACAAGAAAATATTAAATGGAAAATTCCGAAAATAAAATAATCTAGGTTTTACATTGTTTCCCAATCAGAGAAACAAGATTAAAACTTACGTTTCCTTCCTGGGACATGAGGTTTTTATTTAACAGTGCATATATAGTGTATAGACCGGTTTCCCATTAGTCACTCAGGAGACATCAGCTATCATTTCAGTTTCACTCAGGAAGTGCTGATGTTCCAGTAACTCCTATCTTAGTTAATAAAGAACCTCAAGCTCCAATGCAATGGTGATGATAATTTAATCTAACACTACACCCTAACCTTAACCATAACTAACTCTAACACTAACTCTAACCCTGCACACTAACACTAACCTTAGCCCTGCACACTAACCCTATACCTTGACCCTAACCCTGAACACTACCCTATAACTTGACCCTAACAAAGCACACTAACCATATACCTTGACCCTAACCCTGCATAATAACCCTATACCTTGACCCTAACCATGCAACTCACCCTAACCCTGACCCTAACCCTGAGCACTAACCCTATACCTTGATCCTAACCCTGAAAACTAACCCTATGTCTTTATCCTAACCCTAGTCCCTATTGCTAACCACAAATCCTAACCCTAACCCTACACCCCAACCCTAGTGCTAACCCTAAACCTAACCCTAACCCCTGATCCTAATCCTAACCCTAAACCCTAACTCTAACCCCAACCCTAACTCCTAACCCCTAACTCTAACCAAAGGATATGCCAAAGAATCTGCAAGATGTTTCCTTTAAGCAGAAAGGTTGAAGTTCTTAATAAGGTAAGGAAAGAAACGGTATGTTGAAGTCGCTAAAATCTATAGCTTTTTAATCTCTTGCTGTGCCTAATTGTGTGTGCACGCCTGTGTGTGTGTGCATGCCTACATGTGTACAAGGGCGTGGAGGCCAGATCAGGATGTTTTTCTATATCTTTTCTGCCTTACTGCCTTGAGACAGGTCCGTCACTGTATTAGGAGCTCACCATTTAGGTTAGTCTGGCTGTCCAGGAAGGTCTTGGGATCCACCTGTCTCCATCTCTGCTGTAGGGGTTACAGGTACGCATCACTGAGCTTGCCTTCTGGGGCGGGTGTTGTTTGTTTGGTTTTGATTTTTTAAAACATGTTTTCTGGGGACTCAAACTTGTGTCCTTACGCATGCAGAGCAAGCGCTTTTACCCATTGAGCCGTCTCTCCAGTCCCCACACTGCTAATTTTTAAATAAAAATATATCACATATTTGTGTGTACAAGAAAAACAGTCTGCAGAGGTCAGAACAACTGGCTAGGCAGTCACTGGGGGATGGAAATGAACTCCTTGTGGATGAACTTGATGATCGTAAGGGTTACTGAAGATGGACGCTAAAAAGAAATCCCACACTAGCTCAGAATTGAGTATAATAAAGGGTTATTTATTTAGGGGTAGACTCACAGATCACAGTCCTCTGCTTGAACAGGGAACAGCAGCCAAATCCAGCAGCGAGAGAGAGAGAGAGAGAGAGAGAGAGAGAGAGAGAGAGAGAGAGA